TACAATCTTCTGCTTCATGAGTACTACTACCAAAAAATACAATGAACTATAGCCATCTTATTGTAAGGGGAGAAGATCACAATTGTGATATATACTACCATTGTGCTATCTTTTAAGAAAAAAAGTCATTTCCCATCAAATGTTTCTCATTATAGTTTTCAAAAAACTCCAATTCTATCCATTTTAATTTAAGAAGTTGAATTATATCTATGCTTAATTAATGTATTCAGATAATCATTTCTCAGCATCAAAGCAACAAAGGAAAAACAAAATAAATGGCAATTGCTTTTGAAATAACAGCTTATTTCAAAACTTAAAAGCTATTTAAGTTTCAGTAAGTTTTTAAGATTATTGCAAAGGAATTTAGATTTCTATACTTACGAATTTTGTAACCCTTAACTGTACAGGCCAGGCTAAATGTCTGAATCACCCAACAACTGTTCTGAATTAATGACTCGATGTAGCCACATGCGCCTATCTGCAATACATCGATGGATATATTAAATCTCAGGATGACAAAACGAAAACAATGTTACAATTAAAGTGAAAGTCCAATAGTCCAGCCCACTGCTAGATTGCTCAAGGTAAAGCTAAAGAAAGTGCCTCCCCCCCACCCCACTGAAAAGGAGATTGAATGACATTTCCCCAGGGATGGTCTTCCTTGAAAAGCAGCTCCTGCCAACCTAGCACGTCAAGTGCAAGTAGATAAATAGGTACCGCTCTAGTGGGAAGGTAAATGGCGTTTCCGTGCACTGCTCTGGTTCACCAAAAATGGCTTAGTCATGCTGGCCACATGACCCGGAAGCTGTCTGTGGACAAATGCCGGCTCCCTCGGCCTATAGAGCGAGATGAGTGTGCAACCCCAGAGTCGTCCACAACTGGACCTAAAGGTCAGGGGTGCCTTTACCTTTACCTATAATTGTTTTACTAGGGTTTTCCACTGCAATAGTTTACCACTTCTTTTTTCTCTGATATAAAAGTAAGATTAAAAAAAGATTTTAAAAAAAATCAAACCTCACTCCATGGTCCATTCTACAAGCTTTCCCTTCTCTCTTTTGCATGAAATAGTGCCCATCGAAGGCACATACAATGCATAGCTGACCTCTACTATCTTGTATGGTAAATATCTGGGAGCAAGTGGGATCCTTGCAACAAAATGCTGCAGTGCATCAACAGCCCCTAATAAGAGCTCTTCTGTTCTGGCTGTGGCAAATAAGAACAGTGTTTATAGCAGTATTTAAAACAATATCTAAATACCGAATACATTTCTTTGATTTGATTCCCCCCCCGCCACATTTCTCTCACTGAAACCACAAAGGGCTAGAAAAACAGTGCCTTCAATCCAGAGGTAAATATTAATAGGCTTTGGACTTAATAATGAGACACTTACCGACAATATGTTTTTCATTGTAATCACAAAGACATTATAGGCTATCAGCCAATCCCAATAGCGAAGAATGCTTCTGATAGGCTTGAGTAGCAAATCTCCTCCAAAGAGCAGGAAATAGAAACAAGCTACCAAGTAGCCCATGCAAAATATACTGATCCGAGTGGTTCCTGTTATGAAGATGATGGTTAGGACAAACCAGAAGAGGTAACTGAATGTTATCACTTTACCCATATCTAGGTAAGATCTGCAACAAGAGAATACAGGAGTGGAAAATGTTAAGCATCTATTTGTTCCATTCATAGGGTTTGTGTGTGTCTGAGTGTGTGTGTGTGAAAGAGAGAAGAGAGAGAACAAATGAGCTACTTGTTCTTGTCAGCTGTTTGGCATGCCTTTCATTTTGCTGAAATGACTACCTGTGTGGGTAAAGAAATTTGGCATCATACTATGGTGGCAAATCTTGACTGGTTTGGATCCTAACTGCCCATTGACCAAAGTCTGCTCACAGGATGCTCCCACTGGAGGAAAGTGTGGGGGCGGGGAGAGTAGATTTTTTTGCCACTGCAGCTCCTGTCCTCCCTAAAAATCAGGAACAGCATGGGAGGTGGTGCTAGGCTGCAGAAGGAAGGGAAATCATTGAAAATTGCCTGCCTCACTTTCACCAGCTGAAGCCTCCCCTAGATCAGAGTCTTTTCTCCAAGCAAAAGGAGCCCTCCTATTTGTGGAAGGAAAACTAAGTATTTATTTCACAAGATCTATAAACTGCTTGACTGCAATAAAACCTCAAAGCAGTTAAAAGTACTCAAGTCACTGTCTTCTTTACGGAAACACAGGAAGCTGCCTTATACTGAGTCAGATGAATTGCTTCACGTAACTCAGTATCGTCTACATTGACAGGCTGAAGCTCTCTAGGGTTGCAATTGGATGGTATTCCCAGCCCTACTTAGAGATGCTTGGGAACAGAATCTGAGACCTTCTACATACAAGGAAATACTCTACTACTGAGCTACAGCCCTTTTAAAACTTTCCATGGATAACACATCTCTTTTCCTTTTATCATAACTCATTAAAGCTTATTAGTAAAAAATGGTAAGTCTTTCCATGAGCATCATTATAATCAATGTGTTTCTGCACAGCTTTTATTTTGGAGCCAAGTGGCAAAAGAACAGACGTATACCTTATACGAGTTCCCAAATGGCACAGTATAATTTATCAATAAATTGATGCAGGAACTCTGGCTCTTGTCATTTCCTCTGGTTTCTTCCTCTATGAGAATATCATGTGTACTATACACTATCTAGTTTTGTTTAGAAAGCAACAAAATCAAAATGCAACCAATCCCATACAATAGGCTTGTCCTTCATATGTAATGTGTTTGTGTGTGCTTCTCTCCAATGACCTATAAATTTAATATATTCATTTCTCCTTCAAGATATAATGCAACACTGTGTGACCTGCTTCTATTCCTTGATTGCTTCAGCATCAGCTAATGTACAGTGCAAATTTTCCACTGCTCATGCTGATCTACATGGCTGTTGCAATGTACACCAACTTTTTATCTTGGGTAATAATGATATGAGAAAACATATTACGTGTCTGATTCCATGAGTGTTGCTCTGCAATTTTGAACAGCATAATTCAGTAGCCATAAAAAGAAAAGAGCACCTTTTGTCTGAATGTCTGGGAAGAGGACAAATGAACCAGATCTTTAGAAAGATGTATGACCTTTAGAAATATTCAAGATCCAGTTTCTTACCGACAATGGATGAAATCAGGGACAGGGTTGTGTTGGCTAAATGATGCTGCCTCAAGGTTCATGCAAATCTCCACATTGTCTCCAGCCATGATACGTACAGCAGCCTTGTTCTCATCTTCAAATGTTTGCCTTTGTAAGGATGCACATAGCAGCAACATGAAATCATCTGGCAGGAATTAGACACTCAAATTAAAATGCAAGCCAATAACTTTGGTTAGACATACCCTTATTAATTAAAAAAACTTAAAACTATGATAACAAAGATAAGGACTACAAACAACTAATTAAATAGGGCAGCAGCACACACATGCACATAAACACACACACAAGTAGGAAAACCACAAAAATACGAGCCATGTAGACCTATGTGGGGTGCATGCTCTCCAACTTTGACTACTGAATTCAGGTTCCACACAGGTGTTGTTAACTCAACTGATCCTCTTTAGCAGGGTTCCCAGGAAAGGGTTTATCCTATCTAAGGGTTTTAGAAGGTGGTAAGCGGTCGTGGGAGAGGCCAGGCTATACTTGAGGGGCCAGTAAATATGCAGTGCCTGAATATTAGAGGTGGGTGAATACCATAAGCCGTGGACTGATCTGGAAATGAGTAGGTGTGCTTCTCAAAGACTCAAAACTGGTTCAGATTTAAAGCCAATCTGAGAGACTTGGAAAATGCAGTATGACCAAGTTTAGCAATAAGATACTGTTATCCATTTGTATGCACCAATGCACTTCAGAACGTTAATTTCAACATGTGCTACAAGAAATGAGACAAGAGGACAAGCTACTATTAGAATACTTACAGACAAGAAAGACTGGATTGGGTTCCTTAATAAAATCTGGAAAGTATAGCCATTTGATGATATTAGAGTTGAAGTTGGCATTAGGATGTCTCCATGGATAATCTATGAAGGTAGAAGGAAGAACAATTACAGGAAGTAATTCATATCACTCATTGCAGCTCTAATCTGAGCCATGGCTATTTTTCAGTGGTTACTGTGAAAATAAAAGCTAAAAGCAAGAAGTCCCCTTACCTATACAAGGAGAAGGTGGGATGCCAATACAAATAAAGTACTGGAATGTAATGATGCATGATAGAAAACAGCAGTACTTTGGCCAGATCTCTGCAATGGCTTTTCTTCGGCGTCGATATAACACAGCAATTAGCGCAAAGGCATGAACCATAGCATAGAAATCCATTCGTTGACCAATTACATTTACTGACAAGAGGAAACAGCTCTGTGACAAGGAAAAGAAAACCAGAATTTACACCCTCTTGGATAGCCCATGACTAACAGATATATTGCTTCAGTCTTAGAAAATTGAAGTCTCTTACTTAGTGAACTTCTGCTCACTAGGGATGTTGGAGGGCAGCGCAGACTATTGGGTTGACACCTCCTACAGAAACAGTCAGAGCCCCATGAACATTCAACAGCAGGAGGAGCTGCTCCCTGACTCCCAGACCAGTTCAGTAGGAATATAAATCTGGATGAAAAAAACAAGCCTCAACTCTGTGAGTCAGGGGACAGCTGCTCCTCCAGTTGAAAGTTCTAGGCTCTGCCTCAAGGTTTGTGTAAGAGGCGCCAACCCAGCTGTCTGCAACGTCCTCCATGGCGTCCTCAATGGTTGAAAATCAATGTAACGCTTTGCTTACTGGCATATAACAGGTTCTCTCTCAATCAATATTTCATACTTAGCTTACCAATAGTGAGTACTTCGGAGTAGCCAATGTGGTGCCGCTCAGATGTTGCTGGACTATAACTCATCATGCCTGACCACTGGCCAGGCTGGTTAGAACTAATGGGAGATGCGATCCAACAACATTGGAGGGCACCACGTTGGCCATCTCTGGATTACTTTGATAGCTCAGTTGGTTAGAGTGTGGTGCTGATGATGCCACAGTCGCAGTTTTGATCCCCGTAACAGACAGCTGCATATTCTTGCATTGAAGGGAGTTGGAGTAGATGATCCTCAGGGTCCCTTCTAACTCTATGATTCTATGATTCTAATATATAATTGGACAAAAGTTCCTCTTTTTGCAAAAAGAAGTAATAGTGTCACTGATAAATGTTTGGAGTCTACGCTCTGTATCAGCCTTTCTCAGCCTTGGGTCCTCAGATGTTGTTGAACTACAGCTACCATCATTCCCAGCTACTAGGACCAGTGATCAAGGATAATGGGGGTTGTAGAATTGTATAGGCCTTTAATTGTATAGACCTTTAAAATACAAAGATAATTATTTTGTAGAGTAGGGCATTAACCCTCCAAATACAGAAACAAGTAATCCTTAAATATATAATTCCCTAAAATAGATAAATAAGTAATAAATAATATCAAGTTGGAGTCACCATAGGAAATCTTGGCACTAAATTTACCTCTAAACCAAACTTATAGAAGAAGTAGTTGACAAAGTACTTAAGACAGCTAAGTACTCCATCATCTAAATGTAATCTGGTAACATCATGAAAAATTGTTTTCGTCTCAGGAGCTGTGAGATTGTTTCGACATCTGTAGTATTCCTGATGCCGGTAAATGGTTACTTCAAAGGCCAGAATTGCCAACATCAGCAGGTTATTCTGCAAGAGAAGGAAACCATATGAGCTACAAAGAATCAGCCAATATTCTTTTGAAAGCTAGCATACTGCAACTTGCAATATGCTCCCTAAAAACATTGACAACTCAGCGGCTGTACTGTCTGAAAATAATTTATTGAGACTGAAAATAAATTCAACAGAGAACAAGTAATAATAATTACCCTCAGATATACAAGAAGTGGATAAGACTTTCTCAATCCAACCCACTCAGTTGGATCAATGGGCTTTCTGTAAAGTAGTGATTCATTTATGTCTTCTAGAGGCTTAGTTGTATTAGGCTAAAATGAAAAAAGAGAGATACATTTTAGTTTGACTTCTTCAAGGAGGATGCTTTGATTGAACAGAGCCAGGGACAGATCTACTATGAAACTACCATGAAGCTTTAGCTTCAGGGCCCCTAATCCCAGAGGGGCCCCAGAAGCAACTTTAGTCCACATTGCTGAAAAAGTTAGGGTCTAGTAGACCCAACTTGAGTCACATGACACAAATCATTCTACAATGCATCATGCATGTATATAACATTCCCATAATTTTCATCTCCCCCTCAGTAACTTGAAAACTATAAGACATAGGAAATTTTTATTCAAACCAGTGATAATCCAGTGCAGCAATTTTATTCAAAATCTGAGATGTAGTAGTTAATTTTTAAAAAATAAAAATGTAGTGATATGTCATGGAACGACTCCACTGAGGAAGGTAACAGTGGTTATCCAGACCTCTTTGCTGGTTGTTAAGGGCCCCCAAAATATAAGTTTGCCACTGAACAGAGCTGAGCAACCCAGGCATCTGAAAAAGGTTTCATCATCGACTTTATAAAGCAACATTAAGGCATCTGCCACTAACAGCTGAGACTGAAAAGAAGCAGACAATGAAGCAGCTCCATCAGTGCTAGGAGAGGTTCAACTGGGGCCTCTCCATCATACAGGAAGCACCAGTGTCATCAAATATACATACAGCGAACAAATTGAATACTTGGCAGGATGTGTGATTGATTCAGAAATTCACTGAGATATTTCCTGATTTGGGGGGAATAACTTGACTAACTTCTCACGTGAGAAAGAAGGGCCTGTCTCCATTCTTGTTGATCCACAATATCCACAAATTGCTAAATTATTTATTTTAAACAACTCTATTTTACTTTTAAAATATTAGATAGCTACTACTTGCCATTGTACAGTTGACAGAAAACATTTCAGGGTTAATAGTTCCAAGCTGATACAACATTTTGCAGATGATAATTACACAGGTCCAAACAGTGCAGACACTGGATGCCAGTGGGCGGAACTGAGAATATGGCAAAGCAAAAGCCCAGGCAATCACAAACACATAGTTAAGGAGGGAAACCTGTAAGCACAAAATGAGAAAACATATTAATTACTTGACAACATTTTGAGAAGTTTTATTATGCTACCTTGTGCTAAAACATTCTGAAAAGGAATTCAAAGCATAAGGAAGCAGCAAAAGAGAGAGCACTGAAACGTTTAAGATAGCAGGAGAGTTGATCGGCTAAGGGTGGGAGTCTTGGAAGAATCAAGAATTATAGGCTGGGGTTTAATGTGAAACAGTAGCATAAAGATAAAGATGAGAAAGGGTACGGAGAGCTTTCCGAAATAAGGACAAGCTACTTGTGCTGGATGTTGAAGGGAATGTTCTATGTGATCAGTGGTGATTTGGGGTAAAAGCTCAGCATTGCTAAGATGCAAGAAAGGAAAGCAAGGGGAAAGGTGCAGTAGTCAAAGGGTGGCCATGGCAAGAGCTCAAGGCCAAGTTTGGGCTAAGATGATTAGGGGAAGGGGTGGATTTTTGCAATAGTATATTAAAGTAGTTAAGCAATTTGGGTAGCTTGGTTTACTGAATCGGATAGAGCTGGAACAAACTGAATTTCAATTTGCACGCAAAACTTCAAAATATCAAATATAGTTTTGAAGTTTACATTTTGAAGTTTGAATTATGTTTCATGTGCACCTTTTAGGGACAAGTGTAGTGTTTTACATCATTTAGTGGACAGGAAGAATACACGTCTAATAAACCAACCAAACCAACATTTCAGAAATGCAAAAACATCCTTGTTTTTGAATTCAGTTGCTACTGAAAGAAAAACTGATGACACATCCATTATTTACTTGCCTCTTTAACTGTGACCCAGATAATATATGATGAGACAATTTTGATAATGTGCAGTTCCAAAAGCCACCACACAAAAACTTGCAGTTTATGAAAGCATTCGAGAAATTTCAAGAAAAGTACGGTGAGGCGATCAATTACCAAATGCCATTTGTTTCTTAAATCTGCAAAGACAAGTCAAACATAATGATGAAACTTATTTTTGGCTTTGTGAACAGGGCTACTTTTATCTTCTGTTGGAAATATAAAGGGGGAGGCATTTTTCCCCTTCTGAATATAACTTTTCTTCCTCAGAATAAAACAATATTAAAACCAGCTATAATTCTTAATTAAGGGAAAATGTGATTGAGATTCATTTGAAGTCATTCATAGATCCCCAAAGTGTCGATTTTTTCCTGCCAAATGTGTTTATTCCTAATTTTATGACAGAATGCAGTTGATATTCCTCAGAAACAGAATTCCAGAGCATAAGACAAGAAGTAGGTTTGAAGAGTTGCCATTCACTCCTGCAATGAAAAAGGCACTAGGAACCAAAGTATATTGAGCCAAGTTTCAACACAACTTAATCACATTGGGATAACATTTGAGTCCTTACGGGTCTCTAATGTTGTTTTGCCTCCCTCTCAAGGTTTTTTTTTTAAAGACTTCTTGAGCACCTGCAAACGTCAGGGTGAATCCAAGTCTGCTTATTCCCCCCCTCCCCATTTGTATAGTCTGTGAGTATCAGAATACTTAAATAAGAAATAGAGGGAATGTATTACATGTATCCCAGATGAATGACCTTCAATCAGTAGTAAAACAAAATTGACCAAGTTGAGACTCTCTCCACAAATTACCTGATATATCTTCTGTCTCCGATTCATCATCATCTTCTTCTTCTTCCTCCTCATCCACTTCCTCCTCTTCTTTTTCATGCCCTTCTTCCATATCTCTTTTCTCCCTTCTTTCCATTATGCGTTGTTCCGGTTCTTGGAACATATTTTCCTGCTCTTGGTACATTTTTTCCGGCCCTTGTAAAATGTTTTCTTGCTCTTGTAAAACGTTTTCCTGCTCATTTTTTTCCTGCTCTTGTAACACATTTTCCTGCTCTCGTAAAATGTTCTCCTGTTCCTTTCCAAAACTGGCATTTAAATTCATCATTGTGATATCAGGCAGGCTTCCATCTTGATGAACCAGCCTATTGGTAGATAAAGTAGGCATGTCAACAAACCAAGCAGTTGCAATACAAGAAACAATCTTCTGATTTCATACAGCAAAACAAACAAGGAGCACATGAATAAATGGGTCAAACACTGTTTAGGAAACTCCACATGGTATCATACCATAGAAGCAATTATCTGACACTTTGACGCTAATTATTTGCTTTAGTAATTAGTGATATTGCCACCTAAACTTGACATTTCCCCCGCAGAGGAAAAAATGGTCAAAGTTTAAGATGTAGAAGCATGAAATGACATGTTTTAACAGCAAGCATTTCATGACTTCACATGGGGACTTACTCATTTTGGCGGATTGGTAATTTTTTCTTGATGCTGCTCAAAGTAATTGAAACAGAAAGAAAAAAAAGGAAATGAGAACAGAGGAGTTACAGAAGAAGGTCAGAGATAAAGACATCATGCCATATAACTCACTAGCATTCTCTTAATCCATCTGTGTCAGCCTTCAGATGCCAGGAGCATGCCATCCTGGCATTAAAAGAGTGCTTTTAACAAGATGGAAAGTGCTTACTACATTTTCAAAGAAACTTTTCATTCACCATTCTTACATTATGCAAGCAAATTCTTTCAAATAAGTTACACTAGTCCAACTCTGAATATATTTACATATTTGTAAAAAACAAAAGCTGATGTAAAAAACAAAAGATTCAAATGGCAAAATTTTCCATTTGCAAGTAAGCAAGTCTGTTTATTCAGTTCAAAATTCAGGTAGCATATAATCTTGAACCAGTTCTTCACATCGTCTCAGCTACACTTTCAAGAATTCTATGGTTAAAAATCAATATAAAGAGTTGAAAACAGGAAACATCAATTGAAGGTGTTTCTACTGATGTGGAAAATGGAAATGTTACTAGTAAGCTATAAAGTATTTTGGAGGTGCATTCTGGTAACACTACTTATGATCAAATTTACCTTCTTCCCTAAGAAAATGGGATTGGCTGCCTAGTTTCAGCGTTACATAAAGGTAAGGAAAACATTTTATTTTTATGT